AGAGAGTAATAAAACAATAAATTATGTATGCAAATCCCTAAACTGTTGATACGGGTGACTCAATGAAAAACAGATATTTGTCAACAAGTTTACAGAAGTATATAGGAAAACAATTTTAAATTGAGTATGACCACCAGGTATAAAGGTTGGAGCAGAATAGAATTACAATAGTTGTGAGGGTTACTAATCCCTAAATAAGGTTGCCAGTGTCGGAGTGGTGGAGGTTAACAGGTACTAATGAATTTGCAAGAAATGTAAGATGTTTATTTTATTGGTTATATATAACCAATAAAAGTTTAATAAGTACCTACCTATTTGCAAAATAAAGTTTAATTCTTTAGATAAAATAAAACATTTTATTTTATCTGAAATGAGTGCATTCCACGAAGTAAGGGTTTCAACAATCAAACATTTAATTCTTTAATTCCAGGAATCTACGACAGTAATTGACTAGATAATTACCTTCTAAACTTATTCCACAGAAAATGTGATAGTGGGTTTTTCCATTTTGTAGGAAGGTCCAAGTGGCGTATTCAAAATTCTTAACAGTTCACTAAAAGTAGGTACTTCAGTTGCAAGGTGCAGTTTATTGTGTATACTAGTGTTATGGAAAATTTGGAAGTGCCGTGTAAACGCCGAAAAATTGGTCCTTTAACAGTTAATGAAAAAACATTAATATTTAATTGTTTTAAATCATTTACAGACAAACGTTTATGTGAAAGTGTTGATGAGACCGTTGAGTTAGTTAGCAGTACACTTGGTGTTGGGAAATCTACAATTTACAGAGTTATTAAAGAAGAGAAATGTGGTAGTTTTCAAATGCCACGTAATGCTCCAGGGAAACCAAAATTTAAATAAAATATCATTTTAAATAAGGACTTCGACGGAAAGTGCATGAATTCTTCTTTAGACAAGAATTTTCAACATTGGATAAAGTTCTTGTCTCAGTTCGAGATGATAAGGATTACCCAGAAATGAGTCGAAGTACGTTATGGAAACTTTTAAAAGAAATAGGCTTCCGCTGGAAAAAGAATCCCAGAAAGTCTCTTTTATTAGAAAGAAGCGACATTTTCTAAGAACCATAAAGGAAATGAGAAACCAAAAAAGAAAATATTTTATCTTGATGAAACATGGATCAACGAGGGTCATACACCAAATAAATTTTGGCAGGATGAAACTGTTACAAGTCAAAGGCACGCTTTTGTAAATAACTTATCTACTGGTTTAAACCCACCATCAGGGAAGGGACGCAGGCTGATAATAGTACACATTGGCAGTTCAGACGGTTTTGTTGAAGGTGGTTTATTAACTTTTGAATCAACTCGTACCGGTGACTACCATGAAGACATGAACGCTGATGTCTTTCAAGAATGGTTCGAACAAATGATAGATCTTCATCCTAAGAACTGTGTAATAGTAATGGATAATGCAAGTTATCACTCCAGACTTATAGAAGGACAGCCCACAACCAAGTGGTTAAAAAAAGACTTGCAGAATTGGCTGAGTTCAAAAAATATTACGTACCATCCCGGATCTATAAGAAAGGAACTTTATTCGTTGTGTGCCCTTCATAAAGAAAAATTAAAAAAATACGAATTGATGAAATTGCCAAAAATCGTGGAATGACAGTACTTAGATCCCACCATATCATTGTGAATTAAACCCGATTGAACTGGTATGGGCACAGATAAAGAGTGAAGTTTCAAGAAAAAATACCACTTATAAAATTCACTATATTAAACAGTTGTTTTTGGAGACCGTAAATAATGTAAAACCTGAAAGCTGGGAAAAGGCAGTAAATCACACTATTAAAGAAGAGGAAAAATGTGGAAGCTGGACAATATTACTGATAAAATGATCGAGCCAGTTATTATAAATCTTGGTTCTGAAAGTTCATCTTCTGAATCTGATTTGGATTTGTAACAAGTAGCTGTAAGTTTTATATTAATATTTTTATTCATCTATTTAACATACCTTAGACGGTTTTAAAAACTCTTTTTCTCTTTTGTAATTTTTAAAAATTAAAAAAAATGTGAATTTTTTAAAACTCTTTTTAATGTAGGCCAGTCAGTTCTAATATAGTGTGTGATAAAAGAGGTCATTTTTGTTTACATACACATAAGACTTTATAACACTGAAATAATTCATTTATTTTTTACAATTATTCAAAGTAATTTTTCAATTAATCTTGAGCACGCCCATGGAGTGGTCGGAGGTACCAGTTAAAATTATGCAAATTACTCTCTCGTTCATAAAAATAAACTATAGTTTTGATTTGACATTTTCTTCAAATCTAAAGGAAAAAGATGTTTGTGTTTATTTGACATGTTAGTTTGTTCATTGCAGGTTCACCAGACTATTATTGTAGAATGAAATTAAAATTATATTGCAAGAGAGCGCAAATCGGCCGATTAAGGAAACTATATCAGTTAGATAGTTTTATTATGAAAATTGCAAAGCGCAAATCGGTCGATTTCAGGTAAGGGCACAAAACCGTCAAGTTCAAACCGGTAGTATTCATTATAAACTACCAAAAGACAAAACTTAAGAAAATGTGAAGAAAGGGCAAAATTACTTATCGTTACAACTTATTAAGCAAAGCACAGTTAGAGAAAAGCGAAATATGGAAAAACGACTATCCTGGTTTAAGAAACCGAGGGAATGTTTTCAATGAAGTAATGCAGAACTATTTAAGAGGAAGCGGGGGTCAGCAAAATCCGCATGTCAACGATTATTTTTAACATTTTTTTTTTGTTTTCTGTCATTTATATTTTTAAATAAACTAACCTCAATTGTAAAATTTATTTTCAAAGCCGCTAAAATCTAAAACCCATAATTGAAGAATTTATATTGAAACTTTTGGTTGATTTTTAAAGAACACTTAAAAAATAGAGAAATAGAGGAATACTAACAAAGCAATCATAGTTTAGTAATTTTAAAGCAATAAAAGCTTTATCATATACAGAGTGGCCCAAAAGTCTGGAAACGGCTAATTATCTCGTAAATTACTAGACATAATTATACAAAATTTGAGATACGCCTATTTTGGGATACGGAGATTCTATATTTGGTATTTGGAATGTTGCCAGATTTTCAGTTTCATCTTATATTACTTGTAACTTTGGTTTTTCAAATGCATCATCCTGTATATTCAGTCATTATTGGAATCTCCTATTAAATACGAGTTCAACCATATGTAACACTTATGATTTTATGTAGTCTGGAAGGTCTTTATACATAAAACGGAAGTCTGGCAACGCCTAAATTGTTTCAATACATTTTTCAATACTAACTATTTTCAAATACATTAAAACGTAACAATTGATAGTTTAGAATATTTTTTAACATAATAGTTACGTTATTAAGTGTTCAAAATGTGCTCCATTTGTGAGTTGACAACACTCTAATCGATGGTAGAATGCGTCTACCACATTTCTCCATGATTGTCTAGAAATTATTCAAGATTCATCGATAATTCATTGCCTTAGCTATGCAAGACTTGCAGGTTAAGTTTTGTGAACTGAATTTTTCAAGTATCTCTAATAAAAATAATCTTTAGGATTGAGATCGGGTAAACGTGGAGGCCATTCAATTCTACCTTGTCTACCAATTTATCATCCGGGAAATATCTCATCTAAATAACGCCGAACATTTATACCAATTATCTGACATTAAATTTCTTTCGATAAAAAATGGTCCAATTAAATAAGTACCTACTATAACTGACCATACATTTAATTTTTATGGTCTTTGAGTATGGTTTTCACGCATTCAGTGTGAATTTCACACGAGTTCAGCTATTCAATACGAGTTCAACCATATGTTCACTTGATTTTATGTAGTCTGAAAGATCTTAAATACATAAAACAGTGCAAAATATGTAGATTTTTATTGTTTTTATAATAATTGTTTTTATATAATTTATAGATTTTAAAAAAATTTATAAAATAAAAATTACGTAAAAATAAATTTAAATCATACAAAATTAACTTATTGCAAGAATTAAGTGAAGATGACTTTGGTCGTAGATTAGAGTTTACTGAGATAATGATGGATAAAATTGAAAATTATTAAAATTTCGTTAACAGAATATGTTTTTCCGATAAAGCAACTTTTACACTGTGTGGAAGTGTAAATCGACACAATTTAAGGTACTGGTGTGACGTAAATTCACACTGAAGACTGAATGCGTGAAAACCATGCTCAAAGACCACAAAAATTAAATGTATAGTCAGAATATAGTAGTTACTTATTCAATTGGGTCATTTTTTGTCGAAAGAAATTTAACGTCAGATAGTTGGTGTAACTGTTCGGCGATATTTAGATGAGATATTTCCTGGACGATAAATTGGTAGACAAGGTAGAATTGAATGGCCTCCTCGTTCACCCGATCTAAATCCTAAAGATTATTTTTTATTAGGGGTGTACCTCAAATTTTGTACAATTATGATTAGCATTTTACGAGATAATTAGCCGTTTCCAGACTTTGGGCCAATCTGTATATACATTACTTAGTTACACTAATAAGCTCCAGTTACAAAATCAACCGATTAAAAATTGCTTTAAATCAATTATTAAAATACATTCTTTTAACACGAATGCCGAAACGATAGTGACTAACAAGTGGGTTGGGTTATAAGCATACTATTATGCCATAACTTGACCGTGATTCTTTTAGTTTCATTAATGTTTTGTTTACTTATTGTACCATATAAAAAGCGTGATCAATTGGATTTAATTCAATGTAGGTACGATGCCTTAAAAAAGTACCTACAGAAAAAGACGAGGAAACCACCAGAGAAGTCCAGGATGCCGAGAGGTTGAAAAAGAAGAAGAAGAAGATGGTGCATTAGCGGTACATCAGAAGAAAGAAGGCTAAAATGAATGAAATAAATGACATGTATATTTTATTAGGCAATAAACGTTTTTATTTTTTATTTTTATTTTTATTTTTATTATTATATTTAATTCAGTGAACTCTCAAGTTTTGCATCAGTAACATGTATTCCAAAGTAAGTTTCAATTAGAGGATTAAACATTAATTATAGTTAACGATCTTAAACATTATTACGACTGCATGTATGTTGTCTATTTAAAATGAGTTTAAAGTGTGTGAAGATGGTGTAAAATGTCTAAAGACTTTAATATTTTAACTCTTGTTTATCTTCGTAGTTTTTGGCTTTCCTCGATTTCTTCTGTACGTTCTTTTGATTTTCTGATTATTGAAGCCTTATGATTATTTTTTTTAATATAATTTTTATATCTTTTGTTAGAAGTTGTTAGTAATTTTTGGCCTACGTTATTATTGCAATAATATTTCGTATTTGGGTGTACAATGTCAAATCTCTTTCTCCTTTTTACTGGTTTGCTTAACATTTTGTATATATAATATTACTGCCATTTTAACATGCGATATAATATTTTTTGGCTTGTCTCATATTTTGGAACTTCAATTTTTTTAAACAGTCTTTGCGAACTAACAACAAACTACAAACACATTTAAAATTTACGAAACTTCTTGTTTTGTTGACATGGAAATATAAGAATTTTCTCGTATGGTTTACTTTAATACTGACAGTATCGTATTTTAAGTATGGATGTATAGATATATTAACTTAACGCTCTTTTGAATGTTATGACTCATTTATTTAATTTTAAATTTTTTACAGATTTTGTCAGTATTAGCCCTAGCAGCTGTGGTCCAAGGAGGTCTATTGGACTACAGTCATGGTCATGCAACATCATATGCCTCATCAAATCTTGTTGGATCAGACCATGGACACGGATATGCTGCCCCTGTTTTAAGCCATGCCTATACTGCTCCAGTAGTCGCTACCCACGGATATGCTGCTCCTTCAATAGGTCATGGACACTCTACACACGGTGCTGTAGATTACTATGTAAGTAAAGTTATTTTATTTTTTTGCTAAAAAAACGAATATTTATTTTAATTCTATGTCTAACTTACTACCTTAGGCTCACCCCAAATACGAATTCAACTACGGAGTTCAAGATGGCCACACTGGAGACCACAAAACCCAACATGAAGTACGTGATGGTGACGTAGTTAAAGGCTCCTACACCGTTGCTGAACCCGATGGTACTCTGCGTACCGTTCACTACACCGCTGATGACCACAACGGTTTTAACGCTGTTGTAGAAAAATCTGGACACCCTGTACATCCAGCTCCAGTCCACGGACACGGAAAAGTACTCTTAGCTGCCCCCGCTGTCCAACACGCACCATTATACCATCATTAGAATCCCGAATAGCTTTCTAAATATTAAACATGTGTTTTTGTACCTTTTTGTAAATAGATTACTGTGTAATCAAGTTTGTACATATTATTAAACAGCAATTGATTAAACAAGCTTTTTATTGATATACATCTATTTCCGACTTAATTTCTAAGAAATAAAAACTTTTTTATAATGTCGTTGTATTATATTTTATCTACAGAAAAATGTAAAGGCGAGCGTCACGGAACTAGCGCCATAAGAAGGCGTCACGGTTAGCGTCACGAAATACCGGTCTTCACATTGATTCACTACTCTTCATCAATTCGATTCTAGTCATCATATATTTATTCTGCTTCTTATGGTGCCTATTCATTACAAATGTTGGACACCAACATGGCTATTCTGACTTTGTGACTGTTGTCCTGAAAAGTGGCCAAGCGTTAAGTTAAACCATTTACGCAGGTTATGCAGTCAGGATATTCTTCTTCGTCCTGGACGTCTCGACATTTATTTCCAATTTTATATCGTGGCCGTTTAAGATTTTTTTCATTTTGACAAAAGCTGATCTTACCTTCTCCGGCCTTATCTTAGTTTCCGTCGATTGGTCCCACTGTTCATTTAAGTTTGCACTCAGATAACAAAAGTTGGTGACTTGTGTTATAGGTTGTTTTTTAACTAGTAATTGACCAGGTGGTATCCTATTTTTGCTTATAACCATGTATTGGTTATTTTAATATTAAAATCAAGTCCAAACCTGCTTCTTACTTTTACCACCCTAGAGACAAGTGACTGCAGACCTTCAAGACTGTCTGCCAAAATGACAGTATCATCAGCGTATCTTATGTTGTTCAATCGTTCTCCGTTTATAAGTATTCCTTCGTCTATGTCCGTTAGCGCTAGGTTCATAATGTGCTCTGAATGTGTATTTAATAATAATGGAGACAATATACATCTATGTCGCATACTCCTTTTTATCTTTATATCGTCTGTTAACTGATACAAAACTCTAACAGCTGCAGCTTGTTCGTAAAAGATATTGTTTATTATACGGTGATCTCTATTGTCTAGACCAATTGAATATAATTTTTTATCAGTTTGTCATGTTTTATTCTATCGAACGCTTTCTGGTAATCAACAAAACACACATATATATCACAATTCACGTCTCTACATCTTTTAAAGAGAACTTGTATTGCAAAAAGTGCCTCTCGAGTACCCAATGCATCCCTGAAGCATTCTTCCAGATTTATATTTTTAGCTTCCCTGGCAGCTTTTTTTCTCTTCTTCCTCTCTTTGTCTAGAACTTGATATACAACGTAGTCTTTCCGCTTGGATTCTCTTCTTCTGTCCGTCGTCTGTAATATATCGTCGGTCATCCATGGTCTTTCCTTTTATGTCTTTTTCGGTCGCAGGTATTGGTCTAATATTTCCTTTTCAATGTTTTCTAAATAGTTTACTTTTGTATCAAAATCATTAACTACTTCTGACTTCTGAGTTCTGAGCTCTGAGATATGTTGTTCTTCAGATATTCCCGTACTTCTTGCTTTATGTCATCAGCTCTTAGTTGTTTGAGATCGGATTCGATCGAATTTTTTTTTTAAATATTAGACGAAACTTCGTGGGTTATGGTCTGACTTAATATCTGCACCAGGGTAGGTTTTCACTGATGTTATTGAGTTTTTGAATCTTTTATTTATTAAAATATAGTCAATCTGGTTTCTTATGAGATTTTATGGCGTGTCACCGGGTGAGCGGCATATGTACAACCTTTTGTATGGTAATTTGAAGAGTGTATTATATATGATTACCAATTCTTCTTCCGTAGCAAATGTGAATAGGCGTTCTCCTCTCTCATTTCGCTCACCCAGACCCCATGAACCTACTACTTCACCATAACTACCTTTACCGATTTTGGCATTAAAGTCACCCATAACTAACGTTACTTCATTACGATTTTCTTAAATCGTAATAAAAAGCCTCTATTACTTCGTCTGATTTATCTGGTGTGGGTGCGTATATTTGGAATATGTTTGTTTTTGCTGGGAATAAATCCAATGAGCATGATTCTTTCGGATATTGTAACACAATTCGTAACGTATTTGTTTATTTAAAATTATTCCGACGCCATGCTTATGTTGACGTTCTGTATTTCCAGAGTAATATACTTGGTGCTCGTTTATTTGACATTTTCCGGCATCATGCCATCGCATTTCACTGATGCCTATTATATCGATATTTAGTCTTCATGGACGGCATTATTAATTTTGACATTTCATACATGATCTTGACGTTCCTGTTGTATATTTTAATTAACTGCTTAATTTTTCTAGGCGCATCATTTTCTTTTACTTGGGGGTTTCGCTTGCTAATGACCTGGGAGGCCCCGTAGTTTTATGTTGTTATTACTTCACTGCCGGATCTTGCACTCCGATATACATGATCAGTAGTACTCACTCTCAAAGCTGTAGCCATGATAGATGTACAAGAGATATCCATATGGATCTTTAATGTAGGGGTTTCTTCTTGCTTTCTACATCCTTACGCTAAGCGCACACACATCGAATTTGGACGGTCGATAAAAGTTCGACCGAACGAATTCCTTTGGTGGCGCAAAGAAACAAATATGATCGGACACACACATCGATCGCCAAACGGCACGGCATCGATGTCGTGTGATGGTCGTGTGGCGATCGATGAATGTCACTGCATTGCATTCACGGCTGCCGTGGTCGTTGCCGTCGTTCCAAGGCGTATAGTATCAAATGACCGCGCGCACACACATCGATCTTTATCGACCGTCACCTATTTTTGACACTGCTCAATATACGTCGCTTCGTGTTGCTACGTGGTTCTGTGTTGCTCATTGTGATTTTGTGTACTCCACCTAACAAACCTTTGTGGATTAAAAAACGTCATCAAATAAATATCGTGTATTGTGCGCGCAAGGCATCATCGACAAAAGTTCGGTCAACTTTTATCGACCTTCCAAATTCGATGTGTGTGCGCCTAGCCTTACGCCGTTGACCTAGTTCTCGGTTTTAGGGTTTTAAGTTTCCCAACCCAAGGACAAAAGAATGCCCTACCACTTACCAACTCATCCGCCCGAAGCAGTTGGTAGGTAAGTGGGGATTGATTATACGAGCAATCACTCAGACTTCAGAACCTCGTTTGTTATCTAACAGGATGCACCGGATGAAAAGAATCAAGATCATCACGTGAGCAGGTAAGGTTGACATTTTGATAGGAGATGCTACATGTTGTTGCGCATCACTATCCCTTGCATTCCATACTTATTCTAAGCAGGTTTAAATTAAAAGCTACATGAAAAATAACTAATAAAATATAGACATTAAGTGAAAAGTACAAAAATATAAACGAAGTAAATCGTCAATAAATAACGATATTGAATCGTCGGTTTAATGACACCCGATATCATAATAAATTTTTTCTTCTCTCATTCCTTAATATATCAATTATTGCAATTTCAATGCATGTATTATAATTTACTTTATTATGATACATACTTTTAACTAATAGAATAGCTAGATGAGGTTCTTTATCGAAGGTGACACATACGCAATGAGAAATATTAAGTCAAATGCCTACGCTTTGACAGTTCGCAGTTGTTAAACAAACTGACAAGGGTAAAAACCCAAAAAATCGATTTGTCAAGAATGTGTATGCCGTAGAAAAAAAACTTTTTCTTAAAAAAAATGTTTATTAGCAATTTGGTAACGAAACTGCTGATCGTCATGCTAAAGAAGCGGTTACTTCAATAATTATCCAAACAACGATCCAACTAAGCAAAGGCCCTAAAGTTAAGTTTAAAAAGTCAATCCTAGAATCTTGGTAGGCTCATTGGAATAACTTTAATACAGCCGTACGCAAAATCAACCTAAAATTACCCGGCCAAATCTTACTAACCTCACATGCAACGAATCACGGATAATAGGACTACGAATCGACCATACAAGATTGACACATGGCTACTTAATATCCACAGATGAATTACCAACATGTCAACAGCGCAAATGTGCCCTTACCGAAAATCATATTATTATATATTAACGGACTGGCAACAGTACACCAGCTACGCCAGAAAAAATTACTTGAAGACTTCTTTTGGAGATATTCTTAATTATGTGAATACACCAAAGTACTATAAATACTACCATTACTACAGTTAATCAAATGCACTAATCTTTTTAATAAAATTTATTACTTATTCTGTAATTTCTAAGAAAAAATCAACTGAACCGTTCGAATGACCTTAGTTGTCGAGACAGTTAAGCTATATAAAAAAAATCAACCTGACATACGTCAGTCTTCAAATAAAGTAAGTTTAAAATAGAGTAATTTTAAATATTAATAACGTATATTAACTGATATATTGTGCTGTATACCATCAATCACAAAAGTTTATTAACAATCCTTTATAAAAGGTATTTAAGTCAAAATTCTAACCAATCTAAGATTTAGAAATTCCATTGTAAGCGTTAAGACTTTTCCTGGAGCAGATGTCCCCTCAGACTATAACCTCCTTGTCTCAAAACGAAACTAAGGGTAAACACGAAAATCCAAAAGGTGAATACTAAGTTAAGAGTTACAATGAGATTGTTACAATGCTTTAACTTCTAACAATCAAGAAATAAAGAAATTAACATCAGAAGTGAAAACCACTGAGAATGTAACATGAGCATGTGAATGTGAGCAAAATCAAAGATTCTGTTATAAAAAGCAGAAATCCTTAGCGAGTTGTAAAGACATGTCGTGGAATGCAAATTTTAGATTCTCCATGTCCCTTTTAACATCTTTTATCAACCTCTGTTTGCGTTGCAATTTTTAGAAGGCTCAGATTATAAGCAGAAATCTGAATTGTGTTTCGAAACTATTTTACGGATTTTATTATTATATGTCGCTATCGCGTCCGTATTGAAGCCATTTTAGTGTTGCTTCTTAAAATACAGAAAATATTGATTTTTCACGTTGAGAACACCTATGAATAACTGTTCTGATGAGACCTATTAGGTCGAAATCACGTATCAACAGATACATAGGCGCTGTTTGCGCGAAATCAAATATTTGCTGTCTTTTTCATTTTATTCGTATATACTCTGTGTGAGTACGAGAAACACAATTCGCTAAGGATTTCTGCTTAGTTGTAAAGACATGTCGTGGAATGCAGTTTTTGGATTCCCCATGTCCCTTTTAACATCTTTTATCAACGTATATTTGCCTTGCAGTTTTTAGAAGGCTCAGATTATAAGCAGAAATCTGAATTGTGTTTCGAAACTATTTTACGGATTTTATTATTAGATGTTTCTATCGCATCCGTATTGAAGGCATTTTAGTGTTGCTTCTTAAAAGACAGAAAATATTGATTTTTCACGTTGAGAAAACCTATGAATAACGGTTCTGATGAGACCTATTAGGTCTAAATACGTATCAACAGATACATAGGCGCTGTTTGCGCGAAATCAAATATTTGCTGTCTTTTTCATTTTATTCGGATATACTCTGTGTGAGTACGAGAAACACAATTCGCTAAGTATTTCTGCTTAGTTGTGAAGACATGTCGTGGAATGCAATTTTTAGATTCCCCATGTCCCTTTTAACATCTTTTATCAACGTCTGTTTGCCTTGCAATTTTTAGAAGGCTCAGATTATAAGCAGAAATCTGAATTGTGTTTCGAAACTATTTTACGGATTTTATTATTAGATGTTGCTATCGCGTCCGTATTGAAGCCATTTTAGTGTTGCTTCTTAAAAGACAGAAAATATTGATTTTTCACGTTGAGAACACCTATGAATAACGGTTCTGATGAGACCTATTAGGTCGAAATACGTATCAACAGATACATAGGCGCTGTTTGCGTGAAATCAAATATTTGCTGTCTTTTTCAAAACATAAACTCTTTATCAGTAAGAGTTGCAAAGTCAAGGATCCAGATGAAAAATGAAGATATTGGGCAAGTGGACCAAATGAAATACTTAGAAGTCTAGATAATGGAAGATCTAAATCCAAAATCAGAAATTCGCTCAAGAAGACAGCAATCGCGAGCAGCCTTTTTGAAGATGAGAAAATTTCTAAGTAACTAAAGACTCAATCTGCAAATTCGATATCGGATGGTAACATGTTATATCCACTCTATTCTTCTTTATGGTGTCGAGGCCTGGACTTTTAAAGTTGACTTAATGAGAAAACTGGAAGCTTTTGAGATGTGGCTTTTTAGGAGAATTTTGAAGATACCATGGACCGATCATATTACAAACGAAATGGTGTTGCACAGAATGGAAAAAGGCAGAGAATTTTTGACCACCAATAAAAGGTAAAACTACAGGAACAGGGGTAAAAAGGGGTCCTGGTAGACGACAAATATCCTGGCTGAAAAAAATTCGCGACTGGACCGATTTAAACACATAGACGCTCTAAAGAAAAGCAGAAGATAGAGACAAATTTGCAATGGTTATAGTCAACCTTCATTAGTGGAGACGGCACTAGAAGAAGAAGAATTTAAATTTGCTTTCGGGCTACATAACAGAACGTTTTCGGGCTCAAAAGCCCATTATTAGTGTTTTGTTACTAGGTGCACATGAGTCAAGCCACTAAATACCAGAGTATAAACCCTTTCGATGGTATAAAATTTAATATATCTTATATATTATTTAAAAATGTGTTGTTATGTTTGAGTATTTTTCAGAAAACCTGCATGGTAATGTGAGACTTCCATTAGGGGTTGCTACTGACCCTAAGACGATGTCTGAATGGTCCGTCTATAACCCATAGCAGCAATACCTAGTAGAAATTTTACGTTGCCATGCTAGTTATCTGAGAAATACTCAAACACAACATATTTTAAATAAAATGTGAGACATATTGCATTTTGTAAGTTTTGACCCAGGTATGTAGTGACTACCGAGTGCGCACCGATTTACAAAGCACTGATAATGAGCTTTTTGGCACCAAAACGTTCTGTGATGTAATCCCTAAGGGATTGTAAATTATATACCTTTTATATGGGATTTTAAATAAATTTTTAAGGTATATATAATTTATATACCTTTGCTTAATAGTTTACAATAATGACTAAATAGCCGTTGATAAACCATTAATCATTATAAATCGTTTCGTGCAAATAATTTGTCAAAATCAATTAAAAGAATAGAACGGTTTTAACACCGCTGCCAAAATAATGTAATAAGTGGTCTAGTTAGTACGCTTGATATTGTTTCATAATTTGACCGTGATTCTTTCAATTTAAGAATGTTTGCTTACATATTGTTTCATATATAAGACGTAGTCAATTTTATTTTATTCAGTTAATTCTCAATTATTGAATCAACAATATGTATTCTAAAGTAAGTCTTAGTTATGCAGAAAAACTATTCTGTTAAGTATTTTAAGTAATAATTGTTTTAATAATACAATCATTGTGGCTTATTATTTTGATATATTTCACCAACTTAATCAGTGTCGAATGTTTTTTCATTCATGTTTTCTGTATGACTCGTATATCATGTTGCTCTCTTTTTTATCAGTTTTTTAATATTTTACACTTGTATTCAAATTTCTTTTGTAACATGTAGTACACAGTAAAATAATCTTTATCAATTTTTTAGATTAAGAAGTTTACTTAAAGCTTATAAAGTGCAAAACTTGATTTGCCTATGAAACTAACATTTACGTTAAGGACTATTATATCATCACTGACATCATGACATATTTTAATTTATTTTAGGTTTTGTCGGTGCTAGCCCTAACAGCATTAGTCCAAGCTGGAGTTTTGGACTACAATCACGGTCATGCTACATCATATGCCTCATCAAATCTTGGTGAATCAGAAAATGGGCACGGATATGCTGCTCCTGTTTTAAGCCATGCTTATGCCGCTTCAGTAGCTGCTGCCCACGGATATGCTGCTCCTTTAAGTGCCCATGGTCATTCCGCACAACATGACGTAGACTATTATGTAAGAAAACTACACGTGTATATTTCTTATTATACTACTATATTATTCACTGCTTTAGGCTCACCCCAAATACGAGTTCAACTACGGAGTTCAAGACGGTCACACTGGAGACCACAAAACTCAACACGAGGTTCGTGATGGTGACGTAGTTAAAGGTTCCTACACCGTTGCTGAACCTGATGGTACCCTTCGTACTGTACACTACACCGCTGACGACCACAATGGATTCAACGCTGTTGTTGAAAAATCTGGAAAACCTGTACATCCAGCTCCGTCTTATGGACACGGAAATGTGTTTTTGGCTCCTGCTGTACAACATGCCCCATTATACCATCATTAAACTCGAAATATGGTTGTTAAATATTTTTATATATTTATTTATTTTGTTGATTGAATTACTTTGTAATCAATGGTTTTATATAAATAAATCGAACTGAATCTACAAATATAGAAGTTTATAAGACAAAACATAGCCTGTAGGGTTTAAAGATGTCGAAACCAATGTAGTGTCATTGGATGACGAAAACGTGAAAGCAATCGGTGTAGCTCTGGTCCTTCGACAAATTTGTATTTGAACTAATGAACTAAAAATAAACCAATGGAGAACAGGAAGACAACAGTTGGCAAATGGTCAAATATTCATATGGACTGAAATTGATAGAAAAAATGAGGCAGCAGGAGGCACTAAATGTTTAACACATCAATGTCTTAAAAAATAAAATAAATAATCAAAAACCACTAAATAAACAGATATTAACCTAGTTTTTTCAGTGACGCTTTGTCAAAATACTTCAGAATACTTAAAAACAGTATTCTGAAATATCAAATTTTGACTGCATTTTTGTTTTTTTTTTATCATTTTTTAAAAAAATAAATTGAAGCAATTATCATTTAACTTTTCAATGTAAAGCCTCAGTGGCAGCCGTAGCTTAGTGGCTATGTTACTGGCTTAACAAGCTGGAGGGCCCGGGTTCAAATCCCGGCACCGACAAAAATTTAAAAATATCTAATTTAACCGAGCTGCCACCGTGCTTCGGAGGGCATGTAAAGCCGTCGGTCTCGGCTACGAAAGTAGTCGTTAAGTCATGTTAGGGGCGCTTGCGCGACCTGAAAACCCTAACACTAGACCTTAGCCAGAAGGTTACACGAACTTTAATGTAAAGCCTTAATGAAAATAAAAAGTCATAATTTCATGGTGGTTACTATCTTGTGACAGTCATATTCTAAAATGATGACACATTGTATATAGGACTGTATGTACATAATGCCCTTTAAACACCTTAGGTTTTCTTCTATGATTTAAATATACTGGTGCGTTTTTGCACCACTACTGGAAAGAAACGTGTATCTAATGCAGGCTTACCATAAATATAACGGGATAAGGTAGCGAGAACGGCTGATCGAGCAGAGTGCCTACTCTAGATTTAGTCCACCCACTATTTCAACATAGTTACAACAAAAAGAACAAAATACAGAAGTTATACAGCCGAATGCCATCTCGTAATATAATCCTTATATGGGTGGTGTTGACTTATATGACATTGAACATTATAAGTCAAAAGTAAATAGGGAAATTACTTTCCTTCGACTTGTTTAGGAGCATTCCGATCCAGTCCGGTGGTAAGCATTCATGTAATGTTTCGAACCTTTGCTACATCTAAGACGACAACAACTTTTACTGCTCTATTTCTCTAGAGGTTTAGCAAATCCCACAAATCTTACAAGAAACCTCATCTATAACAGACAATTACCTGTTACTAATAATCCTAGAATGGTACCGTCCACTATACAGATGTTAATTTCATATTTGATATCAATCTGTTGTCGAATATCCTTTTCACTTCCCTCAAACTCCTCCATGGATAGGTAAACTTCCAAATTCCAATATCACATTATCCAAATATAATAAGAATGAAATATAACAACATTTCATTATCAAACAAAAATTCTATGAAATACTACATGAATGCAACTTCGATAAGATCCTTTACTCAGACGCATCTAAGACTGAAGAAGGTGTTGGCTGTGCTGTTACAACGACTATAACTACCGTCAACTTGTTTTGACTCTCCAGCAATTGCAGTATTCATACTGCTAAACTATATGGAATACTACAAGCGGTTAAATCTCCACTAAACGATGATAAAACTATAGAAATCTGTACGGACTCTCGGTCCTCCTTGCAGTCCATAAGAAACGTACATTCTATTTACACAATAGTTCAAGAAATCCAGAGTATAGGTAATGTCTTTTAAACTGATGGAATTACAGTAACAATGTTGTGGGTACTATCACACGTTGTATTCCTGGTAACGAAAAAGCCGATCAAGCAACAAAACAAGCATGTTCTCTTAATGTAACAATAGACATTTAAACATCATAAGATCTAAAAATAACACTCAAATATAAAATAATGTTTACTTTTGAATGATCATTGGAAATAAAGCAATACCAAGTTAAGCGTTCTACAACCAAACAATTTCTATCACAATAAAAAACACAAAGTTACATAATTTAATTTCTGTGGCTCAGTGGTAAGAGCGCCTACCTTGGAACCTAAGGTCGTGAGTTCGAATCTCACCTGGGTGGAGAGATTTTCGTTATTAAAAAATTAATGAATTGAAAATAATTTCTATCCTTGTGCGATCGGTACTCACCGGAGGGACTGCAGACGTTCGGATACAATTAGCGTCTCTTAGCAAAGACAATGCCGTCGACTTTGCTAAGTATCAAGACAATTACTCTACACACACACACACTACACTAGGTACCTGACTGTAAAAATTCACTGTGCCATGCCAATGACCATTAGTTGTCGACGCATTAAACTCAATAAAAAAAAATTAAAACAGAATGTAGTATAAAAAGCTGTTTTGTAACTAACTTGTAGCCAATGTAAAGTATTAACCATGTAAACATGAATGTAAATTGTACCTGTGTCAATGATCATTAGCTGTCGAGACACATATTTTTAAAATAAAAAAAAATTTAAATCAAAACCTATATGTGTTTTGTACCCGCAAAATACAAAAAAATACATTTTTTGCTTTATAAAGATATCCAATATTTAGTTAGTTAGCAAATCTTATTCCATATTCAGTAAATCTTACTCCATTCTTCCTTCTTCTCTCCTGAGATCAAGAAATCGGTCTCGAAGGCGGATGAACCAAAGATGGTCAACGGCGGAAGGATGCAGAATGGCACGGGGAACCACTGCATTAAAGACTTATAGAGTAACCCTAGTTAAGTCATTATGGTGTACACCAAAAACTTTGAAAACTTTACTGATCATGGGAATAGGATACCAAGATCCGGCAGAGTGAGAAAAACACAAGAATACAAGGCTCACTTGGTCGTAAACATGCAAAATTCTTGTACAAGAGTGCAGAAACCAACAACTTTAAGAGTTGCAACGTGGAATGTTAAAAGTTTGTTCTCTGCAGGAAAAATGGATAATGTTGAACAAGAAATTAATAGACTAAACATCGATGTTTTAGGAATCAGTGATATCCAATGACCAGGATCTGGAAAATGTTCAGCACGAAATTATGGCGTATTTTATTACTCTGGAATCGACAACAACACCCATCGTTACCGAGTTGGAATCATCATTTTAAAGAAATTTAAAAACTCTTTTATTACTTGTACTCCTGATTCAGAGCTACTCCTGATCTTTTGCAAAAAATCAGGAGTAGCAGACGTTATTAAAAGGATAACAACACTAAAGTGGAACTGGGCAGGTCATGTAGCCAGATCAGTTGATGACCGGTGGACAAAAAGAATTTTGGAATGGAGACCCCGAATACAAGCTTGCAGAAATAGAGGTCGACCCCCCAACGAGATGGACAGATGACATAAAAAGAGTAACTACAGAGTAACTACAGTAGCAAGATCAGTTGATGACCGGTGGACAAAAAGGATTTTGGAATGGAGACCCCGAATACAAGCTTACAGAAATAGAGGTCGACCCCCAACGAGATGGACATATGACATAAAAAGAGTAACTACAAATTGGATTCGATTGGAAAAGCATGCGAGAGGCCTATGTTCAGCAGTGAACGTTAGAGGCTAGTTGATGATGATGATGATTATTCAGAGCGCTTAATATTATTACAAATTAAAGAAAGACATAACTTAATAAATTTTATTCAAGTCTATGCACCAACAGCAGATAAAGATGTCAATGAAATAAAACAATTCTACAACGGTTTAGAAGAAATGCTAAAAACAATAAAAAAAGCAACACATTAACATAATAATGGACGATCTTAGTGCCGAGGTGGGTCAAGGTAAGGTAGGAAAACAGTTAGATATCGATATTAACGGTACACAGATGAGATTCAGAAAAGGATTAGGTACAAGAGAAGTTCTCTTTGCCTTAAACGTCCTAACACAGAGATGTCTAGATGTTAACCAAGAGGTACACGCCTGCTTTATAAACTTTGAAAAGGCTTTTGACAAAGTACGCCACAATAAACTCAAAGAAATCCTGGGGGTAAGAACATCGACACCAGAGACATACAAATAATATTAAATCTGTACTGAAATTGAAACCTCAATACTCCGGGAGTATTGGATTTTAGGAAGTGTAAGACTTCCAAATTCCAGAAGAACTGGAAGAGAGGTGATGAAAATACTAAAAATAGGGCTAAGCTCAGAGGAACAAAGTTAAATGGCCAAAGAGACACTAAATCTCAAGTGAGTGTTCCGGCTAGCTTCAATGCACTGGATTGTGGCTTTAAAGATATAAACAACAATAACAAGAGATAATGAGCTAATGAGACAAGAAAGAAATGAGACCTGGTAATATCAAACGTGATACAACTGAAGAAGGTCACTGGGAATAAATTTATAGAAAGAGAACAATAAGAAGAGAAAACAAGGGCGCCAACTCAACGATAGTTGAGATTTTGAAGTAACAAATGAATCTGGAGATAATACTCTGAAATACAAAATACTAAATAATAATCTTGTTTTGCTATGTTATATACTGGTTAGTAGAACTGAAATAAAACTCAAAATAGCAACAATAAATATATTTATAAAAAATGTATATAGGTATATGTGTATAAACAATTTACATATAATGCAAAGCCAAATAACAGTGGTAGTGGATGGTGTAAAGATACAATGGGACCTAATAGCCCCTCAACAAACGAATAGTCACTACCACTGGCCAAATAAAATATGAAATATTAGTAACACCAAGAATAGTCCGTATGGTAGCCAAAGTCTTAACACAAAAAGTAGTAATTTAAATTTAACTAGTTCAACTAAAATGAGATACAAATTACAATATTGTAAAGATATCAAAAGTGATAAATCTGTTACAATTATATTATATTACATCCAAATAGCGAGTCGTCAATACTCTTTATATAATGTTTTAAAAAAAAACCACATGAAATTTATTTCCCTTTCCCAAAATCAAAATTGTATTATATCAAAAATGTATTCTATTAAAAAATATATTAAATCAACAAGTGAGTTCGGTCAGACTCTTGAAATCCTAATTAAAATAAAAACCTCATAACACATGAAAGGTATTTTCCCTCTCCCAATAATATCAAAATTATATTTTATCAAAATGTAGTCACTTGATCATATGCATATGAAAAGTTAACAAAATAGGCAGTAACAAAAAATTACACAGTCAAACAACTTATCTTTACAGCCCCATAAGTCCATAGGAAAATTCCTCTTGTCACGGTTACATCAGTTTGTGGCTGTAAGGACAAACCCAGGGGAGTCTAATTTAGTCAAACCAGGCACTGGTCTATCTGCTCCGAGAAATCGGTAACTCCATAACCGAGTTGTTAACTATTCAAGAAATTTTGTTACTAGTATCCTTGAGGGAATATTCTCAAGAGAATACTCTCAAGTGAAGTGACGGAATCTAAAAAGGTTATGTAATTTAATAAATGTAATTTAATAGGTGTAGCAGCATGGATTGACTGCACCAAAACAAAACATCAAAACATTAGGTTATGTCAACATGTCAGAATTTCCGAAGTTACTTCGTACACATGACAGGCTTGCGCCATGAAATGAACACGCGCAGAACACAGAAGGCTGTAGAAACCTTGTATATTCCACCAAAAAAGGTAGAGAAAAAAAAGAACCAAAAAAATTTAATGATAACGACATGGACTAAAACAGAATTTAAGTTTAACTATATAAAAAAATGACCTTCTGTTCTTTGCAAGTAAATCAAGGAAATTTTATATTTAAATTATTTCGGAACTCAAAAATAAATCTCTAAAGAAATACTAAACTGCAAGGATAAATTTGATTGTATGATAAAGAGATAATACGTATGAAATGATTTACTTACATGGAGCCGCAGCACGCCAAAAAAATCTTCCTTTTTCTGTGGAACTCTTATATTAGGAAATCTTGATTTTTAAAATTTACTTATTATTATGATTGAGATATGATTATTCAATTAGATATTATTTTATTCGTCCCATATTATTTCACTGCTCCAATTCCGTCACTTTGAAGGTGAAAAAATTTCACCGGTTGGCGTGTCTGCGTTGAGTTCTGACCAAAACTGCTCGTTCTCGTACCGATTCGACCACTCTTCCTTTTTAAGCGACTACTGCGCGTGTGGGGAAAAATGTCCATTTAAAAATCGATCACAGGCGGGTTATAAGAAAATTTCTTGAGGGGTTTAAATTGGACTAGTCAGTAGCGTAAACGCTACAAAATCAGCGAGCTAATATAAAAAAAGAAGACCAAACATCGGACGAAATAGAAATAAGTAGAGTAGTACGACAGGGTTGTATATTGTCACCACTCTTGTGTAATATCTACAGTTAACAAATATGCCAAGAAGCTCTCTCACATGCAAACGAAGATATAATAGTCAGTAAAGAAATTATCAATAACATTCGATATACTGACGATACTGTAATAATGGCAAGAACAACGAAAGAGCTACAGCTAGTTGAAAGTATAAATGATATATGTAATAACTACGGCAGAAGGATGAACGTAAAAAAAACCAAATATATGACCTTCAGTAAGAATCCAATACATGCCACTAGTATTGCAATGAACGGTACCCAACTCAAAAAAGTAAGCGCATACAAATACTTGGGAACCCTCATTAATGAAACAGGTGAGCAACACACAAGATAAAAAGACGTATTGAAATTGCCTGGTTTACCTTTATTAAAATGAAAAAAATATTTTGTAATCGTGATATTAGTATTCATCTACGAACTAGAATGTTAAAATGCTATGTGTTCAGTACTTTTTTACGATGTTGAGGCACGGACTCTTAAACAGAGGAATATAAAAAATCTTGAAAGCTTTAAGATGTGGTGCTACTGCCGTATACTAAAAATAAGTTGGATGGATAAAATTACAAATGAAGAGCTAATACGTAGAATAAATAACGATCCAGTAGATATCCTGAATATAAAAAAGAGAAAACTTAAATACTTAGGCCACCTGATATGAGGACAAAGTACACATTCCTACAAACAATAATCAAAGGAAAAATCCAAGGACGCAGAAATCCAGGCCGTAGAAAAATGTCCTGGATGAGAAATTTTAAGAAAGTGGTTTCTCTGTACCACTAACGAATTATTCAAAACTGCAGTAAATAAAATCAGTATCGCCATAATGATATCCAATCTCCGATAGGAGAGGCACTCAAAGAAGAAGAAGAAGACTCCATATTCAGCCACATTTTTAAAAGTTATAACGTTTATGGCAAAATTATCGTTCGATTACACCAAACGAGCAATTCACAACTACACCTTACGATTGATAAGATTCACTGCTGTATTTAAGCTTTTACCAAGAAAGAAAATTCGCACCTATGTACACGTCAAATCATGTTTATGGTGTAGAATTTATTGTACGTTAGGCACATCTGAGGGGTTAACGTATATGCTAAACTACATATGCTAAACATTTCAAAAGAATTACTAAATAGCCATTGATAAACCATAAATAATAATATAAAATATATCGTTTCGTGCAAATAATTTGTCAAAATCGATTATTAGAATTGGAGTTTTTCACACCGCCACCTCAATGATGTTAACAAGTGGGCTAGTGAGAACGCTTGATATTCTTTCATAATTTGACCGTGATTGTTGCAATTTAAGAATGTTTTGCTTACATATTATTTCATATAAAAGGCGTAGTCAATTTAATTTTACACAATTAACTCGTGAGTCAGTGAATAAACAATATGTACTCTAAAGTAAGTCTTAAATATTTCTATTTAAATATCATTAGTAATATGACCGAAATATTCGCAAATTGATTATATTGTTTCTTTTGCACTTTTTTACATTTCCTCCATTACATTAATGTTTCTGGTTATAGGAAGTCACAATATTATCATTTTTTTATACTTAAAACACTCATATTCAAGTTTTTCTTATGAGATGTGGCACATAGTAAAATAATCTTTACATTTTGAAGGGTAATTAAGATTACAAAATGTATAACTTGATTGTATAAGAAATAATTACTTTTTAAATTGTAAATAATAATTACAATTTTAAGATATCTCATCTTTTATAATATCTCATTTTATATTTTTTTATTAGATTTTGTCAGTGCTAGCCATAACAGCTTTAGCCCAAGCTGGAGTTTTGGACTACAGTCATGGTCATGCTACCTCATATGCTTCATCGAACCTTGGTGGATCAGAACATGGACACGGATATACTGCTCCTGTTTTAAGTCATGCTTACACTGCTCCAGTAGCTGCTGCTCACGGATATGCTGCTCCTGTATTAGCCCATGGTCATTCTACACACCATGATGTAGATTATTATGTAAGCATGATGTATTTGTTTATTTCTTTTTTTTTTAATAGAAGTAAAAATATTTTATTAATTTTTATACAAATTTATTATCTACTGCTTCAGGCTCACCCCAAATATGAGTTCAACTACGGAGTTCAAGATGGCCACACTGGAGACCACAAAACTCAACACGAAGTCCGTGATGGTGATGTAGTTAAAGGTTCTTACACCGTGGCTGAACCTGACGGTACCCTTCGTACTGTGCACTACACCGCTGACGACCACAATGGTTTTAATGCTGTTGTTGAAAAATCTGGACACCCCGTACATCCCGCACCATCTTACGGACACGAAAAAGTGCTCTTAGCCGCTCCAGCTGTCCACCATGCTCCATTATATCATCATTAAGACTTAAAAATGATTGTTGAATATTGTTATATATTTATTGATTATTTGGTTAAATTACTTTATAATATACTTTTTATATCAAATAAATTGAACCGAATTTTAAAAATAGGATTTTTTCAATACTAGCTTATAGAACTTTTCTGTGGAAATCAGACTGCTTTATATAATATTGTGTAATATTAAGCAGTGCAATGAAAAGTTACATTAAGATTACATTTTTAAGAGGACACAATTTTATTTTTTTGATGCGTGGGGTGGTTAGTGTAAGCTTAAGTTCAAGTTTGTGGAGTCGCCCCTTGGTGCATCGGCTACCATCTTGGAAAACTTGAAATTAATATCATCGTTGGCTTTACAACCCATGGTCGTTCTTGGCCTGCTCAATGATAACTCTCCATTCTCTCCTATTCTTCGGCTCGGCTTTCCAGTTTCGTACTCCCAACATTCTCAAGTCTTCCTCCACCTGATCCTTAAATCGTACTCTGGGTCTGCCTCTCCTTCTCACTCCATCTATTCTTTGGTTATAAATATGTCTTGGAGGTTCAATCTCATTCATTCTCTCTATGTGACCTAACCACCGCAGCTGGTTTATGTTGATGGATATAATAATATCAGGTTTGTCATACAGGCGGTAAAGTTCGAAATTATAGCGTCTACGCCATAATCCGCCCACCTGTACTACTCCATAGATATGCTAGAGGATTTTACGTTCAAAGCATATTAAACATTCTTCATTGCTCTTTGTCATCGTCCATGTTTCCAACGCGTAGGTGAGGATTGACCTGATAATAGTTCTATATATCACTAGTTTCGTTCTTTTTGTAACTAGGTTTGTTGTTAAAATTTAATATACTTCGTCTTACTAGTGTTAACCTTAAGTCCCATTCTTTTTGTTCCTGCTTAAAAAGTATTGAATTACTCGACCACGATAGCCTTTCTTCTTGCAATATTGTCAATGTCATTGGCGTACGCTAGTAATTGTATGCTGCGATCAATAATAGTTCCTCTGGTTGCTATTCCAGATTATCTTATCGCTTTCTCTAGAGCAATATTAAATAGAAGGCATGATAGGCTGTCTCCTTGTCTAAGCTCTATCTGAGACTGGAACGTTTTGGAAACTCCGTTCTGCACTCTTACTTCACACTCGACTCTGGAGAGGGTCGCTTTCACCAATTTTACCAAGTGTATTTCGATGCTGAATTCTATCATGGTATTGTACAGTGCGTTTCTTTCAACACTATCTTAGGCACATCTAAAATCAACAAACAGATGATGAGTATCAATGTCTATACTTATTTTTTCCAGAGCTTGCTTTAGAAGGAATATTTGATCAGTCGTTGATCTTTATTTACGAAACCCACACTGATATTTATCTATTATGTCTTCACAATAACCCGATCGTCGTCGGTCGTAAAAAATATATGCCAATATTTTGTATGGTACGTTTAGGAGGGTTATTCCTCTGTAGTTGTCACATATTGTTTGATGTCCTGTCTTGTGGATAGGTACAATTATACCTACATTACAGTCTTCCTACAACTTTATTTGCTTCCACATTAGTTCTACCAGTCTACATATTGAGTATGTCAGGTTTCTTTGCGATGCTTTAAAAGTTCTGAAGGAAGGTTTTTTTTTTCAATATCTGTATAGCTTGGATGACTTCTACCTCTGTTTGGAAGTTATCTTTCTCTTTTTTATCGTCAATGTCCTTAAGTTAGGTTTCTAATTCGTGGTGCCCTGTCTCACCTCTTATATTTAGCCTTTCCTCGAAGTTTTCTGCCCATCTTTCTAGTATCTGGTCCTGATCACCAATGATCTCTCCTGTTCTATTTCTAACGATTGATAATCTAGGTTTGAATTCTTTACTGTTCTGGTTAATCCTCTTGTAGAACTTTCACGTTTCTGCTTATGCCTTATAGTTCTCTAGTTCTTTTAGTTAGCTCTCTATATGCCCTTTCTTCCTTTTTTAAGTATAATCTGTTAACTAAAAGGGTACGACAAAAAAAAGAAGAAGACGACACCCAACAAAGGATTTTAAAATCGCAGACGACATTATAGAAGAAAACAAGACTACTGACTATTTAAAACAATATTGAAAACATTTCACAGATCTCGCCCAGACACTTCACTTTCCAAACAAAATTTAAAAAACAAGGTTTTGTCCAATCTCAAGACTTTTTAATTAATATAAACCTAAAATTTTGCGTCCTCCGCCGCTTCTTTTGTTTAAGTATAGTGTTTTTTACGATAATACCATCATAATTCGGTGTTATATCTGTATAAAATATAGTTTTTTTTCGTAATATTCGCCAAGCAAAGGTTAGGAACTTTTTGAACTATTGAATTTTGTATAATAAAAATGGTAGTGTGCTTTGTCCCGGATTGTAAACACTATAGTGAAAGAGAGATATGTCGATTCTTTATGTTTCCTAAGGATTTGGCTAAAAAGAAAACGTGGATTTCTTTATTAATGTAAGAAAATATAGTGAACAAATAGAACTGAATTTATTGCTTTATTATAGATTCACAGACGAAAAGACAAGGAACCATCTGTCTATTCTTTGATTTGTTCTTGCCACTTTTTGAATTCTGACCGACAAAATGGCCCAACAATTTTCGAGCACAACAAAGCCAGACGGTTTCTTGATGGGCAATTAACCCTTTTATCTCAACCAAAAAGAGCAAAGTAAGTAGTTTTACTTATATTGAGATATCTATTACAATATACTGAAATTTTGCAAAAATCAAATTTAAAAGGTGGAAACTGAAATATTAGTCAGTACTTTTCAGGAGCCTGTACCAGGACCTAGTACCCTCTCATCCAAATACTAGCACTGCCAATGAAGCTGCTCATTTCCTTTGGTTGCAACGATGGAATCGGAAAATTACTTTTTAAAGAAAGAACTTCAGGAAGCAGTAGATAGTGCAAAGAAGTTGTCTTCTTGTTTTTTATTTGCATGTGTTAAAAGTAGTGATGAGAATGTTGCGCTTTAGACTGGTTTACCATGCCAAGATGTATTTATGTGTTTATATGAGTTAATGGACTCATATAAATTAAATTATTATAAAAGTTGGGCTGTTGTCAATGTACCTAAAATTGATCAGTTATTAATTACATTGATGAAATTAAAACTAAATCTTGTGAATGAAGATTTAGGAAGTAGATTTAAAATCTCAAGTAAAATAGTAGCTAATATTTTCTGCACCTGGTTATATGCCCTACATGAAATATTACATAAAAATATTATGAAGGCAATTGCCAGCAATAATAAAAATAAATTATGTATGCCAATATGTTTCAACACTTTTACAAATAGTAGAATAATTTTAGACTGCACAGAAATATATTGTAACCAACCCACAAATATGGAAAAATAGATAGCAACATAGAGCTCACATAAACATAGAAATACTTTAAAAGGTCTAATTGGAGTGGCTCTCAATGGAGTAGTTATATATGCACGCAAATTAAATCCAGGTTCAGTATCTGACAAGAAAGTAGTAAAACATTGTTTTATATTAGAGCAGATGGTATGTGGTGACTTAATAATTGCTGATAAAGGGTTTTTAATTTTCGATTTACACGTTGTAAGTTTAAATATACCACCTTTTTTAACAACTACTCTATTTACACCACAACAGGTAATTCAAACCAGAACAATTGCTAAAGCAAGAATACATTTGAAACGTGTTATAAGGCGCATTAAATGCTACAAAATTTTAAGTCTTATACCTGCTAGTCTAGTACCACATGCTTCATTTGTATGCCTCTCATTCAGGAAGCTAAAGATTTATACAATAAAGAAAATGAATGATATTTTCTAATAATCAATCCTATGGTGTAGACAATTATGGAACACGTAGAGTCACAAATATCCTTTTAAGAGACTCATATAGCCAAAGTAATATAAATAAAATATTTAAATTATCTTGCTTATTATAATTTAATACCTAAAAATAAATATAAGAGACCTGAAAAATATATACAAATTTAAATGAAAATTCTCAATCTTTTACATAAAAAGACGTTATTGTAATGCACCTTCCCTGTTTTTGTATTGCTCTAACATTTGATTCATTGTTCCTTGGTTTGAATAAAATAATTCCCTTTATTTGGAAATGTTATACTTTTTGGTTTACTTGTTGGTTTTGTACTCTGTTATACTTTTTTCTATAGAATTAGCGAAGCTCCTATGAACTTTAAACACATGCATGGATTACCAATATATCTAAATGTTTAAATATTTTGTATTATATTATATTTTTATAAGACAATGTATTTATGTTATCTTTCTCCCATATATCTTATCGATAGTTTTTACTTTATCACATGTTGGTGGCTTCTTGCTAGTCCAAGAACAAACCACATCTGTCACAGATATATTGTGATAAGCAAAAATTAGCAATGCTGCCATATGGTGGCACATCAACTGACGTCTTGGGCAAGTGCATGTCACTTCCTCAGTATCACGGTTGCTATCAAGTTTTATCTAGAAATAAAATATTTATATACTAAATTATATCTTATAATCCATTTAAGATGTATCAAGAATGTTATAATACCCACTTCAACCATTTAAATATGATCTCTCATACTGGCATAAACATTTCCGCGAATAATAAGGAGATGCCTATCAAACACAATGTCTTTTACATGGTTTGACTCTACGGCATTTTCCCCACGAGACACAAGTTTTGCTTCTTCCTTGATAATATTCATAATTGTGGAAAACCGTACAATGTGTTTTGCTGCCATAATTTAAAAATTAAAGAAATTTTAACCTTACTTTACTGATACATGTATTTTATTGCTATTTATATAAAACGACATGCTTTATTGTTTACACAACGTTGAAAATTGTTGTAGTAACTATAAGAAGACTTGCATATTGCAAGAAGCGAAAAGAATATGTAAAAAAACTGATAAAATTACGAAAAATACAAATTACCCACACTAAACAAGGTTTGTTTGGAAAGCGAAAGTGACAGATGTCAATAAAAATACGTTATCACTCCGGCGGTCCATAAGCGTGTGATGTCAGAAAGGGATGAGTTTGCAATTATATTTTTTTACTCTTTTACTAGTAAATTGTATATTACCTACTATTTGGATGCTAAGTAAATGCATCATAACAGATACTGACACGTAATGACTAGCACGTAATAAAAAAATTACGCTTCAGTTTTTATAAAAATGTGTAATATCACATAAGCCTCGTAAGTCAGTTGGTCGAGTTACCATGGAAACGAATTAACAGACATTATTTTGACAGATTAAAAATTATTAATCTGTCAGTGTAAATATAGTGGTAATTTTAATTTTTATAAACGAAAATAATCGTAGAAAAAGTATAGTACACAACTTGAGTTGTAAGCTTATTACATGCTTGTAAAATTACTGCGCTCGCCGCTACGCGGCTCGCGCGCAACTTTCTTACTCGCATGTAATAAGCTTCTCACAATTCTCTTTATGTAATATACTATTATATACAATAATATTTCGTCAGGTTCAACGAGTACAACATCTAACAGACATTTGACACTACTACAGACATGTCTTCATTGACAAAAGGGTAAAACATCTTAGATTTAGATAATATTCAAATTAGGCAAAAAATATTATTATGAGAATTATTATTAAGCTTTGTTACAATTTGTTTTTAAAGCTTTCAGGACATATCATTTTAAGTTGTTAAAACTATATAAGTGTCAAATAAAGTAACTTTTAAGGTCAAAATATTTTAAATGCTTTTGATAATTATTATTTTAAAATAGTTGCTAAATAAATAATCAATATACAATGATCATACATCGTTTCGCACTAATAATTTGTCAAAATCAATTATTAGAATAAAAGCTTTTAACACAGCTGCCAAAACGATTGTATTATGTGGTGGGCTAGTTAGTTCGGCTAATATTCTTTCATAATTTGACCGTGATTCTTTCAATTTTAAGAATGTTTTGCTTACATATTGTTTCATATAAAAGGCGTAGTCAATTTAATTTTATTCAGTTAATTCTTAATCATTAAATCAACAATATGTACTCTAAAGTAAGTCCAATATTTCTATATTGTTATGTTTATTACAATCAATTATGGTATAGATCATTATTAATATATTATTTAACTTAAACATGCCACAAGAAAACAGTTCCAGGACCTTATCAAATATTTAAAAAACCATTATGACTAGGACCGAAATTTTACAAAATTTTATTTCTTTTTTCAATAACTCAGTGTTGATAGTTTGATACTTTTTGGTATAAGAGAACAGTTTTTGTTATTTTAAAAGTCCGAATAGGTCTATAAACTGATAGTGCTAATCTTTTTTGCATATAAATTTTTTGTTCATTCTATGATACAATTTTAACGTTTTCTCTACTTTGCTATTGATTTCTTTTTTTAGATATTCTGTTTCTTCTATTATTACTCCTTATTATGTAAAAGTGTTAACTTATTCTATTTTGTTTCTTTAATTTCTATATCAACTTTTCTATTGTTTCTGCTAATTGTACAACTTTCGTTTTGTTAGTATTTATCTTCATTTCGTTTTTAATAAGTACTTCTTTCAATATTTTCAAATTATTATAAAGTTCTTTTTTAGTTTTTGCAATTGGTACCAAATTGTTAGAAAAAATCCTCCTTTATATATTTCTACTTTGCAAATTTCTAAACCAGACATTCAGATTTTTATTTCTTGTTGTTTATTTCTTAAACCTTTTGTCAATAGATAGTAGCAATACTGATGGGCTACGTGTTCCTCGCTGTCTTAAATCTCCATGTATTTTAAACATATCTGATGTTAATTTGTTACTTATTATGGCATTGTTGTTCTCATTGAATATTTTTTGTATTATTCTTGGTAACTTGTCCATTTTTTTATATCATTCATAATTTCGGTCTTTGAACTTTACCGAAAGTTTTTGGTCAAATATCAGGTCAAATGCTAAGAATATTTTCTTTTTCTTTTGCGGAACTTTTCGTGTCCTCTTTTTTTAAATAAATATTTATATATTCATTTAAATTCCTACCACTTTTAATCTGTAATTATTCTTATTGTTTGCTTATTATTTTTTCAAGAGTTTCATACATGTACATAGCAACGTCAATCCTCGGTATTTACTACATTCTTTCCTATCTCTTTTTGTGTATATGGGTACTATTAGTGACAATTTCCAAACTTGTGAGATATTTTAATTTTTCCATATTTAAATTCTGGTTTTATTTTATTCACTTCAGGTGCTTTTCTACACTTCAACGTTTTTATTGCCCTTTAATTCATCCTCGTTTATTAAGTCGTCTGTGTTATCTTTCAATGTAGTATTTTGTTTTTCAATAATGTCGTCTTGGTTTAAATTCGTTAATAGTTTATCATTGGGTTGTTTCCATCTTTTAATTGTTTATTTTTCTATTATTCATTCTTTATTTTTTAATGCTGTATATTTAAGACTTTTTTTTGTGTTTTTATCATCTCCAGGGCTCTGTAGAATAGCTTTTGGTTACGTTTGCTATATTCTTCCATTTTATCAATGAATTTTCCCAATTATCTCTCATTTCTGCTGTTACAAATATTTTTATTTTTTTCTTTCTTTTTACTTCACTTTTATTTATTTCTTATTTTGTTTCGGACCATCACGCTTTCTTATCTGCGTCCAATAATGAATCCTTATAGTTCTTTCATAGGTAGTTTATATCATTATTGCGTTCTATTTTTTTATTGTTCTAAATGTAAGTTTTTCTTTTTTTACCAATTTTTTTTTTCATTGGTTTTTCCTTTTTCTGGACTAGGATTTTTTTTATTTCTTCACTGCCTATTTCGGGTGCTCTGTGTGCTTTTGTATCCATTACTTTTCTTCTAATATTGTCTTTAACTAGTATATGTTTAAAATTATGAAATGTATAAAAAACTAACAAAATGTATTTATATTTTTGGATATATTCACAATAATTGTTTGATTTAAATAATTGACAACAACATTATATAATACAATAACGGTTATTATTAAGTACCTATATTAAATATAAAATTTAATATTGAAGTATTAAGTTTAGATATAAAATGAAAAAAATTGCTTTATATTTTGGTAATTATATCTTAATGTTTAATTTCAGATTTTGTCGGTGTTAACTCTAACAGCTTTAGCACAAGCTGGCGTTTTAGACTACGGTCATGGCCATGCTACTTCGTATGCTTCGTCAAACCTAGGTGTTTCAGACCACGGGCATGGATATTCAGCTCCAGTTTTAAGTCATGCATATGCTGCTCCAGTTGCTCACGGATATTCTGCTCCTGTTCTCGCCCATGGACATTCCGCACATCACGATGTAGATTACAACGTAAGTACAAAAACCAACATTTATTTCAAATAAGTACAATTATTTCGAATTATATATCTAATATTATTTTATATTCTAGGCTTATCCCAAATACGAATTTAACTATGGAGTTCAAGATGGCCATACTGGAGATCATAAAACTCAACACGAAGTCCGCGATGGTGACGTAGTTAAAGGTTCCTACACAGTAGCTGAACCTGATGGTACCCTTCGTACTGTACATTACACCGCTGACGATCACAATGGCTTCAACGCCATTGTTGAAAAATCAGGACACCCAGTACATCCAGCTCCATCTCATGGACACGGAAAAGTGCTCCTAGCTGCTCCAGCCGTCCACCACGCTCCATTGTACCATCATTAAGACCCGAAAAATCTTGTTGAATATTGTTAATGTATTTATTGATTTTGTTGATTGAATTACTATGTAATTAATTTTTGGATATAAAATAAATTTAAGGAATTTACAAAAATGATGTTTGCTTAATAATTTCAAACAATTTATAATTTTTTTTACTTGCATATTGTTTGTTTATTTTACCTTGGATACGGTTACCATAAACACACTTGTTATATCCAGGACCATCATAACCGAGCGTTATAGACTATAAGGTCCTGTTATATAAAAAAAAAAACAAATGATATTGACCGAGGTTTTTTATTTTAAACAATTTTCAAAGGAGTACATATTATAGAGCAAACATTTTTTAACCTTAACAATTTTTATAAATATTTAAAGTAGAATTTTCAATATTTTTTAAAAAGTTATAAGTTCCAAAATTCTCTGAGCTTTTTAAAATTTTTAAAGAGAAAAGTTGACCACTACTATAACTAGTGTGTTGACATGTTCCTAAAGAAGATTCTAGAGTTCCTAAAGAGAGAAATAGTGCTCTACTCTATATATCCTGCCACAGATGAACTTTTCTTCTATTTGCCATAAATTTTTAGGGTCTCAAACGATACCCTAGCTTCAACCAAAAGGGTTTCTAAAGTTTTTATTAAAAAATTTTCTAGTATATTTATTTACATTTTCTAATTTAAAGTATTTTGCATGTATTAAAGCTATAAATATATATACTTCCCAGTGTATTTTTGCCAACCGGTTAAATAGTTCATCGACTGTTTTGGTATGTAAGAAAAATCTTCGTTTGTTTATTCATTTTGGTCTTACCGATACGTAGTTTCTGAACAGTATCAAGGTACTCATTTTATACTCTTCCATAATAGTAAATCCTTTTGTCGTACAAAGTTTAAGTTACTGGTATTTTAACGAGTAAACAGGTACCCTTATCTTCTATATCATCAACGGTAATTTTTACAAGCTCATCCCTCCAAAAACACTCATCACGATTACTACTTTTTCTCAAAGATAAATTTACTATGGAGCTTTATTGATAAAATCTAGATCCTAGTCTGCTTCAAAACCTTGGGTTTTTCCGAGATGTATTATTTAGATTTCCATTTAGAAAAGGGAATATTTGCACTCTTCAAAGCTTGGCTTTTCAAACACTCTTTGGAACCATAGGGACCCCTCATAGCGTTGTAACCCTGCTAACAGACTTTTCCATTTAAGACACAATATAATACATATAATAAGTGGGTGGTTAACTCAACAGAACTGCTATATTGAATTTGATTTTCCTTGATTTTCACAAACAAAATCTGCCGGTTTTTTAAAGAATACATACCCGAGCTTTTTACTTGTCAAGATCTTAACTCCAACTTCAAATTGTAACTACACGTGCTACCAAAACTTCACTATTTCCGATACAAAAAAAAAAAAACAAAAAATACTATTACGAATTTGATGAAAATTCGGACTAAACAAACAAAACCAGCTGCCCTTGATAGTGGCTCCACCGATAGTGATCTCATAATTTTGAAAATCGTTCACTCAACTCGGTATAAAGAAAGCATAAATGGAAATAAATATTCCTGTTTATTTGACGCGCAAAATATCCTAATCGGCTTCATAATCAAAAGGAGGCAATTCAAAATTATTATGTATAAACCAGAAATGTTTATATTATCAATTTTTGGCGATGCAACGGGATTAAAAAAATATTTTGGTGTTTTAACATGTACGATTGGAAATAGAAAATCCGATAAAGATAATTGTCTTTTAATCTTTTAGTTTTAAAGTAGAATCTTTTCTATCCAACAACTCATTTATTCCGCTTAACAAAAATCCGATAAACAAACTTAAAATTAACCTAAAATCTAACATTTCCAATGCTATAAATTTATTTTTACCCCAGTTCCGTGGATTATAATACGAACCCCTTTCCCAGTGATACGGATGAAGACCACAACGATGATGAAGGTGGAGAATATAGTATTCAGTACAGTGAATTCAACGGAAGTGGCACCCCTGTTTCTAGGGATAGTATAGAATCAACCTGGTGAAGGGCAGCAGCGATCGCCAGTACTAGAATTAGGCGTAAAGGAAATGATCCTAAACCGGCTTCTTACTAGAATACCGTAGGTGAGACTGAAACAGTTAGAGGGCTACGGTACTGCGATGCGGAAAGCAAGTAGGAAACTACCGCACTATATTCCTCAGGACATCCATCCGTAGATTTTTTCTGGTCATGTTGGAAGAAACAAAACAAACGGCCCCTAGTCCCGGGCAGGTCTTAAATGGCCAAGGTGTACGAAGAATCTGCCGGTTTCAACTTGATAAGAAAACCAAAATTCCTACGTGTAATCATCATCATCATCAATGGCGCTACAACTCTTCGTGAGTCTTTGCCGCGTTTACTATTGCCTTCCATGTTTTTATAATCTGTCCTATTCCGAGGCAATAATATTCGTTTCATAACAATATTTTTTTTTACTTGTATGGGTCGCTGGTCTGTAGCAAAACCTTCTTTTCGGAGGACCATGTTCTCCCTTCCTCGTTTACCCTGACCCTGCCTTCCATTGGGGTTGGTTACATAATCTTCAACAAGGTTGCTCAGGTTTCCGGGGTCCACCCGTGTGGTCAAGACCACACTTCATGGAGGTGAGGATATGCATTGAGCAGGAGAGGCTAGAGATGCTAACTGGAAACAGCATCTTATAATGCCCATCACTACTCCTTTGAACCCCGCTACGTGGAATGTTAGAAGCTTATTTGCAGCATGCAAACTACAATATCTAATTCTGGCAATGAACAGAATTAACATCAATATTGCCGGCATCAGCGAATTGCGTTGGGAAGGCACAGGCATGATCAATACTACTAGTAAAACCCTTTACTATTATGCAGTGATAGCAAACTCTCACTACAGACACGGGTAGGAGTTTTATAAGCGAAAATTCACGCGTCTCTGTGAAGAACTTTGCCCGATCTCCGAAAGAGTCATACTTATTCAGTTGCATAGAAACGTTAACATAAATATTATACAAGTCTACGCCCCTACAGCAGACAAGCCAGAAGAAGAACTAGAGCGATTTTATCAACAGCTAGACGAAGCCTTAAAGGTGACTAAGAATCACGAAGGTAACATCGTATTAGGAGACTTTAACGCAAAAATTGGGGAAGGAGCCGTAGATCACGTAGTTGGTAAATATAGTCTTGGGGACAGATTGATACAGTACTACCAAGACAAAGATCTAGTCATAACAAATCCTTGGTATAAGTTACCACCCATGAGGCTTTACACATGAAGTCGCCTTTAGACGGACATCAGGACATTATAAGGAAACAAATAGATTATGTAACAATTAATAGAAGGTACAGGAATACTATTACTAAGGTATCTGCATTACCTGGAGCAGATATAGGATCCGACCACAATTCCTTAGTAGCAAATATCAAACTGATGCTCGCTACAGCTAAAAGAAAACACCAGAAGGCATCAGTAAACATTAGGAAACTCAAAAATAGGTTTAATGTCATATCGAATTCTCCCTAATTTAGATAAAATATTAGATGATACTACAAATTATTGATTTATTTAGTGCCTCATTAGTTGAGTTTTAAATGTACTTAAAATTATGCATTTTTATGTAATCTTTTATAATATTATGAATTAAACGTATCTCGTTTTACACATTATTCCCACATTAGTAAACAAAAATTATTGAAAATGCTATTACTTACTTTGATTATTTTAAATATCCAATTGCTAATATAGTTTATTTTTTAATAAATCACAATAATTCATCGCTTATTAAATACTTTGATGTTTGGCAACGATGTGGGGTTCTGACGTCGTAAATCTTAAATTACGACATCTTGTTCTTCTTCTTCTTCGCGTGCCATATCAGAACTATCCGACGTTGGCGATCACCATTGCGAAGGCTTCTCGATCTTCTGCAATATGGAATACTTGTCATGCATTTGGTATCTGAGTCCATTCACGAACGTTTTTTAACCAAGAAACTTGTTTTCTTTCTACACCTCTACGGCCCTCTATTTTGCCTTTAAGGATCAATTCTAAAATTTTATATCGACTTCCCCTTACTATATGTCCAGATAAGACATTTTTAGACGTTTAACAATCTTTAGCAGTTTGCTGTCTTTGTTGACGCTCCTTAGTACTTCTTCATTAGTTTTCCTTGCTGTCCAAGGTATCTTCAGCATTCGTGTATGAACCCACATTTCCAATGCTTCAATTTTGTTTATGATCAATACTTTTAGCATCCACACTTCTGCACTATACAAAAGTAAAGACCAAACATTACACTTAACCATTCTCTTATATCTTGTCAAATATCTTGTTAGTTAAATGTATTGTGACTTTAGCATGTTCAAATATTTATAAATTAACTTCTTCAGTTTTGTAGAGTAGCTTCAACTGACTCTATCCAATTTACTTACTAATAAATATGGACAAAATAAATTATTTTACTGCATAAAATTATTGTATTCTATTAAGTGTATAAAAAATTATCTGTAAGTTGAAATATCCAATAGTAGTATAATTCTACAAACATTTTTTAATAAATATTGACGAATAAAACTAGGAATATCTGCTGTTTTATATTAATATATTATCTGTATTTGAATCAATATGGTTAACTGTATTTAATTTAATTAATAATTCTATTTAACAATTAAAAATTTTTATTTTATCTTTAAGTTCATTCATTAAATCATCTTTTTTTTTAATATATATAAATAATTTTGGAAGAAACTGCACGGTATTTGGAAAATTCTCAATGGCATCATAGATGCCGTTATCCAAAATTTTTACAATTTTCTCACTTAAAGTTATCAACATTTTACTTAAAATTTGCATATTTGAAGTGTATGGATTGGCACAAACAGCACTTTACACCTTTTACAAATTTTTTTTATTACATTTTAAACACTTTTGAATAAAATTTGACATCTTGTCATCTTGACAATAGGTATATTTCAATAGAAATTAACTC